TAGTCGCCCAGTTAATCAAGAAACATATCTCATACTATGATACCTGATGTGTTCATTACCCTGTTCACAAGAGCCACCACTGAACCTTATTCTGAATCAGACGAATCCCGACACCCTCACATCCTGTTCTATATTTAGATCCATTTTAGTGTTATCCTTCCTTCTGCGCCTGGGGTTCCAGAGTAATTTCTGCCTTTGAGGGTTTCCGAACAGCATTATCTATGTTTTCTTTATTACATGCCTGCCACGTGTCACAGACCCCATTCTCATTGATTTGCTGACCCTAAGAGTGTAAATTTTTTAGATAATTCATTATGTTGCTTACTTCAGTTCCCCCTTACTCTCTGTCTTAATTAAAAACATGCCCCTTAGTATCCTCAGTCTTTCGAGTCAGAATCTGTGACGTTTCACAATCCTTACAATTTACAGGCTTGTGACAGGGAAGCAGGTTGGTGTTCGCTGAAATTCCAAACTTTCCGGGTTTTGCCTTCACGTTCCTGGTTTTGTTCCACACGGTTTAATCCCAGCAGTGCTCGCGATTGGGAATCACAAAACAAGAGCTCTTTCGGAGCTGCTCGTGACAGCTGGCGTTCAATGTAATGCTGTTATAATTGTAACATGACCATCGATGTTGGAGCCATCTGTATTTCCGTGAATGTAATATCCTTACCTGCTAAAATGAAATATGAAGACTCCTATCTTCTGGGTGTAGCGCCATGTCGTCCGCTGAAAATCAACCCACGTTTCGGAGGAACATATTGCCTTCATCTTCAGGGTCAAAGAAAAAGCCAAGCAAGAAGTCAGCGTGAATCAGGTACATAGCTTGCGTGCTCTGTGTGCAGAACTTGCTTGTATCAGGCAGCAGGCAGGTAGTAGGCAAATTCTGCTTGCTACATGTCATGCTGGTTTATTACTTGGCTTATTTTTCGAACCCTAAGATGGAGGCGACATGATCCGAACGTCGTTTAAATTTCAACGGACTGCACAGCGTTACATCCCAGAAGGCAGCACTCTTTATAACCTCCATTGTGATAACTTCAAAATATACAAAATGAAGCATGTTTCTTCAAATGACTGCGAACTTTTTGTTCCTTTCCCCAAATTGTGCATCGGCGAACTTTTAAGTAACAGCAACGTACAAGGAATGTGCTCAGTTCGAGTCTCGTTCGGGTTCCCTGCTGTCCTGACTACGCGACAACCGCGTGCTTCCGAATCTGACCCATCCATCACCATGATATTACACAGCGTGTCCAGGTTGTGTTAGGACTGTGTTCATTAAAAACACAAAACGTGAATTATTTTCAAAATTTCACTTTTTTATTCAAAACATTCTCTTTCTGAATCAATACATAGCTGAAATCGATTGAAAATTTTCGAAAACAGTCACTGTACTCCTTTTGTGGAATCGCATTTAAAACTGCGGTACATTCCCTTTGGATGTCTTGGATGGTGTCGTGACGGTCTCCTTTCATCGCCAACTTAACTTCTGGGAACAACCAGAAATCTGGTGGAACCAATTATGGCGAATACGGAGAATGATCAAGGACTGTGATCCCTTTTCTGGCCAAAAACTCGAGCACGATCTTCGACTTGTGGGGTGGAGCATTGTCGTGGAGGAGCGACCAGGAACCTTGCTCTCGATATTCAGGTGAAATTCGAAGAATTCTCGCCCAAAATCGATTGGGGACTCCGAGATAATAATCAGAATTCACTGTCTGACCTTCTGGCAGAAATTCCTTGTGAGTGTTTCTTTTGGAATCGAAGAAAACGGTNTCACTTTTTTCACATCTTCTTCAGTGTGACTTGTTCTCGGATTTGATGCACGTGGAGCGCCTTCAATGCCCTCCCTGCTGTCACGAAATACAGTATACCATTGAAAAATGTTCGAGCAACTCATACAATCACTACCGTACACATTTTCCATCATTTAGTACACTTCTCCAGCTGTTTTGCCTAACTTCAAACAAAATTTGATGTCGGTTCTCTGTTCAACTACCATTTTCAGACGAGCTTCAGAGCAATACTGGTACGCTGAAGGTCAGAACACATGATGCAGCGATGCTTGCGCTTTGAAATTACAGACAGCCACAGCTGAAACTATAGGAATCTTAACGCCACAACTCGCCAACAGATGGCATTGGAGGGCAAAAAAAAAAAAAAGAATCCTAACGGATCCTGGACACACCTTGTATGCTGATTGCGTTCGATGTTTTATAACCTCAGTTGCTGAAGCGTCATCGTGTATGCAGTGCTGACTAGTTTCACGAGGCGGAGCCCTTCTTGGAAGCTGATCGCTTGCCTTTTATGCAACCCAAGTTCATTGCTATGTTTACAAGAATCCGCCACTGCATTCTATAATGACCCAGTGAAGGCAGTCTACACACCCATACCATTTTAATATTATCCATCTATGGGAAGGCCTCCAAAGTGGTGTCCTCCCTTCAGGTTCTTCAATTACAACTTTATATGCATTTCTTGTCTCCCTTGTGCGTTCTGCGTGTACTTGAAGTTCTACCTTGATCACCATAATAGTATTTGATGAAGAGTCATAGTGATGGTGTTGGTGATAATCTAGCAGGGCTACTAAAATGTGGGAAATCAGTGAGTTGTAAACGCATACGTTATGTGCCATAGGTTAGGCTGTTAGGTGCGACTTCTCGTGGAGGTCAGTCTCTGGTGACTTTATGTAACATTTGTGGTGGAAGGAGTGCAGTGGAGCGGGTTTCTCTTCGAGTTTTGTCTTGTTTACAATGTTAATCATCATTCCAGCGGGCTCCATAGTCTAGAGTAACGTTCCCACCTCGTGACTCAAGGTACGCGGGTTCAAACCCGGCGGAGGTCGTGGAATTTTTAAAGGCGGAAAAATTCAGGGAACAAGTCCTACGGGAGGGACTTTAAGCCGTGGGTCCCGTGTCGTAGCTTTACGGCACGTAAAAGAACCTCATATCTCCAAAGGAGACCACTGAGCAGAATTACGGACGTTTCCCGCCCAACAGTATTCTCTAACACCTCTGGTAGATGGGGAAAGCATTAAAGGTACCGGTCAGCTAGTAGAGGCCGATCTCGCTGGCTGGGCGGGACTGATGGTAAGCACCAGTACCGGTAGGATATAGAGACTGGTAGAATATCATAGAGGGAAGCACAATGGACCAAGACAGGTCTAAGTGCATGGGGAAACCCACCCTCTCCAATAACTAACTAACTAACTAACCAATCATCATTCCGCCATTGTTCCATATTCATTATCACTGCCACATGAGGTGTGCCCTAGTTCTGACTAAGCAGGACATTATCATATCCTTGGTCTGTAAGTTTCATGTTTCGTCACTGAATCGCTACTTAGCTGATCATTGACTGAGTGAAGAATTTAATGTTTTCACTCTGATTGCAGAGCGGATCCGTTTCAGCGTTAAAGCAGCCTATCTAATTAGATTAATTCCTTCCCATCCAGAAGACAATACGTATTTTAGCTGAAAGTATGCCTGATTACTCTTTGTTTTATGCGAAAACTGGAATGTAACATTGAAATAGCTCCCTACAGTTTCCTTCCAAATACCTAGGAATTTACCTTTTGTGATCATCCTCTCATTTATCTCTCGCCACTACGTAACCCCTCTGCAGATGGAACTCACGTCGCAGATCACCCGGTTAGTGCCAACATATTGACCTGTCTTTATCTACAACATCCTCCAATTCTTGGCGGTTCTGTTTTATGGTGTTACACTGAATAATTTCGGATATTGACTAGCCAGTGTTCACGGTGTCCGATCATCCCTGGTCATTATTTTAAGGTTCGGCCACACAGAGCGCTGCGCTACGTTCGCTACGTACGCTACGTACGCTGTGTACACTCTGCGACGCAGCTAACATAGGGAACATAGCGTACGTAGCGTACGGAAGTCTGTGTGGCCAGTCACATTGGCAATAAAGGGAGATATTTTTCTGTTCGTATAGCGAACGTAGTGTACGGAGCGAGCGTCGCGTACGTAGCGCTCTGTGTGGCCGAAACTTCACTCTGTTTCTCTTCACACTGCGCATTCGTGGAGGGAGAGTAACGGGGAGACCTCATATAGTAGCATGCCCTATGATTGGTTCTCATCACTTCCCCGGTTTTTTGTATTAAAATTAATGTAACTTTAGATATTCAGCAAGTCAATTGCCATTTGATTCCTTGTGTGAAATAAATTGTGATACCTTTGAAGATTGTATTTTCATTTTTCTCATTCCAGTGAATAAAAATAGCATTTATTTAATTATATTTTACCCCAGTTAGTCCCTGGCTTCCCACAGCGGCAGCCCGGGTTCGATCCCGGGTCTGGTCAAGTGGGATTTGTGGTGGACAAAGTGGCGCTTGGGCAGGTTTTCTCCGAGTACTTCGGTTTCCCCTGCCAATCTTCATTCCACAAATTGCTCCACAATCACCCTCACCTGTCATCTGTGGCTGGTAAAATAGGCCACAAATGGCAGCAGTGCAAGGGGCTTAGTCCCACCCCACTAACAATAAAAGAAATACAGTATGTCGATATAGGCACAGGAAGTTTGGCGTTCTTCACAGTTCATTACATTGCCCGAGGTTTGTGCCAATTGTCAATAAATTTAAGCAACGCCCGATTTTGGTTCTTGACAGCAAGATATACGGGTATATATTTATATATAATTTAATTTGCTCCTAATGACACTAAGCAACTAATCCTCTAATAGGAGAATCATACGTTTCTTTCCAACCATTGAACACGACCCGAGACATTTTCGCCCTGTCAGCATATTACCCAAACATTCATCTCCATGCCAATAAGGAAACTTCTTCGAAAATGTTAACCCAATGATAAAACAATTCAGGCAAGTATTCCAAACAAATTAAGTTAATAAACTAAAATTTTATGTCCGTAGTACATACAACCCACCGTTGTGGTTTACTCATTTCAGGCGCAGAACCCTCTCAGTAATTATGATTTCTGATAGCGTGCATTTTGTGTGTTGTTTGTGTTGTTCGTGTATAGATCTGCTGTGACGGCCGTAGCATGGCATCCCTACAGCTCGTTCCTGGCCGGTGTGGACAAAGCTAAGAAGGCCGTCGTCTGGGGAGATGTCTGACCACGGCCACAGGAGCTGGAGTCGCTTGCGTGAGCGGCAGTCTGCAACTTCTCGTGCGACTGCTGTGATCACAGTCTTCAGGGTTATGTGAGGACGGTACTGCAAAAACCTGCACGCATAGTGAGCGATGGAATATTTATACTGTACAGACCATAAGAATGTTCCAGGATCTCCAGGCATTAGCCACATCCTCTGTAATAATATTTCGGGAAGGCCGTCAGACATTTCTTTCAAATTTATGTCTTATTAATACCCCAAATCCTCCTCCATTTCTATTTACCAATAATGTGTCTATGGTGCGTTTCTCATAAATTGAGTTATCTCATATCTAATTATCTTCGAAAATTAACATAAAGAATGTGATGTAATTATTTACCGTTTTCTATAACAAATTTCCGATTTAATCTTTATGCTACAAAATATTCCAGTTCATAGATTCATGCATAATCACACTGAAATACTTAAGTTAATATTTTGTTAGCTGAGTTTTATTTTTGACGCGTATACATTCCTGTTCTTGAGGTCAGTCTTAATGCAATAAAGCTGTTATGTCTACATTACAGCAAATATAAAAAGACTGATTTATACATGTGAAGTAAGAGAAATGGCAAATGTTCTTCATCGAGAAATCATGTTAACTTTATTTTGGTTTCATTTCAGTGGAACTGAGTTGTAGATGAGTGTTTATGAAGGAACAACAGAAATATTCATTTTCTAATGACATTCAAGCATTTGTCTATTGTTTGTATAGACACTAAATAAAGATTAATATATCATCGGTCTCCGAGCCAGAAAATATAAGATTTTAGTTCGTGAATCCGTATTCTTAGGAGCAATTTATATCTTTCCACGGAATATTGCCAAACACATACAGTGATATCAGTACAAATAATATCGCGACAGAAACATTAACTTTTTGTTCAGGTACTTCTAGAACTCTTGCATTCTGAGGAGATCAAAGAGGAAATGTGATTCTCCACGGGCTCCGCTTCCAATCACAACTTTCAGTACCGATAAAATACAAAATATAGGTTTCAAGAAGCTCTTCTAAATTAGCTAGTTTCGCGAAAATGTCTATAGTCTATGACAGAGAGGCTATTACATCATATTGGCAGCTACATCTACCGGCAGATTTAGTGCTACCCGCAAGCGGTGATAGTAGCAATCCATCGGTTAATGTCACTCAGCATCATTGTGATTTTGTCGTGTAGAGAGACAATAGACATTTCCCACGAACATAATTATATGTTTTCTGAAACGACAGTATTTAACATTTTGCACTTATTGAAATTTAAGAACATAATGAAGTGTAATGAGTTCAGAAAATTGCTTACATTTAGACAGACGTATGGTTTTCATCCTAAAATTAGTAAACATATACTTTTCAGCATAAGGTTGTGTTTCTGGTGCCACCGTATTCATAAAAATGCTTCAATATAATTACGGGTTCACTGCTGTAATTAGTGGTTGCTTCTACGTTGTTACTAAGATACGTTCTCCTTCTCTTCACCCTCTCTGGGGCCCACCCAAGCTCCTATCCAATGGGTACCGGCTGCTCTTTACCCCTGGGTAAAGCGGCCGGGGTTTGAAGCTGACCACTCACCTCCAACTAGTACCGAGGTCAAGAAAATGTGGATCTATACATCCACTCCCCCATACGCCTTCATGGCCCAATGCTTAATTTTTAACTTTAACTTTTACTATAGTATGTTGACTCATTCGTGCTTTAATTGAAAATAAATTTCAAGCTCCAGTTTGTGTTGGCGGTTGGAATCCTGAAATGGATTCACCGTATATTCGTGTTCCTCTCATCTTTGCATACACATCTGGCCGTTCTGTTTCCGTTCAGTTCTGTTGTTCAGAAGAACTGAAGTACAGTGACGTAAACCTACTTCACTGCTTCATACTGTCGCTTCTCGCTTCAATTACATAACATTATTCCCGGAGCCCAAGCCAGAAATTCCAGAAAATATCTGTGAATTCTTGAAAAAAAAAATAGTGAATTGCTAGATTTTCTTATAGTGGTTCATTGCTATACTTTTTAATGTTAAATTCGGCGTGGAAATCGACCACAATTTATTTTTTAATTATGGTCATTACCTTTCCCAGCAGCTGTGTTACTTCCTGTGAAATTAAACCAAATTATCTGATATATAAATCACATTTGTTATTTTGTTAAAGTGTTAGCTCCGTACCCGTGCTGTGTACACGAAACATTTTCAATAAAGCATTACGCTTTAGTTACATTTTTCATTTTACGAAATGAACGCGTAAGAGGTTGTATTTATCCGACCATCCGAATGCATGTTTCTTTTCCGGAGTGTATTTCTCATGTGGGATGTATGTTATAAGGTTACAAGCAAATTTCTTTTTGTTTCATATTTGTCTTTTCTGGCTCCAACGTCACATAAAAGCAGAAGTAATGTTTTATTCAGAATTACTGGGTTTTCGGACTTTGCCCATCATCCGATATTCTAGAAAATAGAAAATACAACGTTTCAGAAACAGATCCAGTTTCCGAAACGTCGTGTTCTCTATTCTCTAGAAAACGTCACGATAGGCAAAGTCCGAAGACCCAATAGTTCTGAGTATTATGTACCATCGTCAGAATCTAATGTTTTGTTGTATTTTCTTAGCGGCAAGGGTAATGAAAATGCTATTTGGAATGAAAATATATAGGGTTATATTTTCGAGGTATTTGTGGTATTTGAGGTATTTAACGTCATTTCAGACATCCTCTTGACCAACATAGCGAAACTATATAAAACAGACAACAATCATTTTCTTATAAAATCTCTAAATAAACATTAAATATTCGTGTACGAGTGAATGGAGTAGCCTTTCATTCTGCTACTGTTGGGTTTAAATTGCCATGGAAAGTGATATACAGATACGGCAGGCCCTCACCAACCGCGGGTTTCTAGCATTCAGGGGTTTTTATTTATGTTCAGTTTTAGCAAAAACGTAATTAGAGTTCATGTATCCACATATTTCAATTTCTGTACAAGTAAAAAAAAAATCGGTAGCACAGGAAGAGATCAAGCACGACCATCGTCATCGTCATCAATGTAATGATGATTAAAATCATCATGAACTTCCGCTGTCAGTAATTTAATGAACTAAATTTACGCAGTGAAACTAATTATTTCGTTGTTTTAATTGGTATATTACCTGAATATTGCAAACATGGTACAGTATTGCCTTCTTTTGGACTTACAGAGATCAGATACGTTATGTTAGAAGCAACAGAAATTTTTCGGAAGTACTGAGATTAGACTGTGTTCCTGGCTACAGATCCAGAGGTCCCGGGTTCGATTCCCGGCGCTACCAGATATTCTGAGAAGTAGTGGTCTGTAACGGACCCCACTCAGCCTCGTGAGGATAATTGAGGAGCTACTTGATTGGAAAATTAGCGGCTCCGATCTAGAAAACCGAAATTGACAGCCGTGGGAATGCGTTGCGCTGACCACGCGATGTCGTCTATCCGCTAAAGTTGGCACTAACTTCGCCGAAAAGCGGCGGTGGCTCGGTCGGTATAGTTCGCTTGCGGGCTGAAACCACGGAGGTTTGTTTTATTCGAAACACACTCAAAATGCGCTACATAAGAAATTCAGGACGGTAACATTTAATATCTAACAAAATTTATTAAGACGCTCGGAAAATACATATATACCATGTTTATATATAGCACTATATATTTTTAGACTGAAGTTTTTTTTTCAGATTTCTGCCTCTGCTTGTGATACAGCCCGCACGACACTCAGTTCCAAGTATTGGAGTCTGTACACGCGCCTTAGTCTCTCTCAGCGCAACATGGATTTCGTACATGTTTGTGGATTCTGAGAAATCCTCAGTGATACAAGCATGTGGCGGTGTAAAGGTGGTGAGATTTCCCTGTCGCGTATGTGAGCTTTCCATTCCAAGGGCGTGAGTTATACATAGTCGGGGGGCGGGGAGGTTGCTGAAATACTTCGCAGGAGATTTATAGCACGCTTTCAGACATGGCCACGAACCCAAATCAACATACGAATTCATATGATTATCGATTTACTAATGATAACATTTCATTGTGCGAGAAATGTGGTTCTCAGAACCTCATATTCTATTTTGTAGTCATTACTGAAGTAATTAGATTAAATTTATGCGTCTAAGTCTTCGCGTGTACACAGTCTGGGTAGTTGACCTGTTTTCGAGGTTATGTTCGGTCACTTTGCAGAGAAAATACACTGCAGCTGCAAACGGGTTTTCTGTTCCTACGAAGTAAAACGTCTCATTTCAATGCTGATATTGTTCTAGATGGAAACAAATGATGGCGGAGAATACTTCCGCTTATTTCATTTGTCATCAGTTTCACGCGATGGATTTAATGCAAAGGATTAATAACTGCAACAGAGATTTTGCTATAGGATAAAATGGAATAGTACAGAAAGGGACTTCTTATGAGACAGTGTATTAGTATACACTTAGTTCAGTTCGCCCTGCTTCTTTCCAGTACTTTAATTTCGCTTAATGGAAAGGGTCTCAACGGCTTAGATTGAGTTGCTGTGTGTGAAAGGCTCCCATTGTTACAATCTTGATTGGCCGCTTGCGTTCTCCTGCTACAACTTTATTGGTCATTCCTGCATGTGTAATTGTCTCATAAATATTCTGGCATTATCATCCTTTTATCATGAAATATCCGTTTTGTTTCACAAGATTTACCAAATTATATTCAAATGATTTCACTTTGTGTTCCAAATTGACAATTTCGCTGTTTTGTGCGAACCTTTGAAGCCTTATAATTTATTTATTACTATGAATTTATGCCGTCATTCTTCTCCTGCTCTAGGAACCCTACTCGTTCTTCCGACTACAAGAATTCGCCTAATTGTTCATATAGTCACTTTGGAGATTGATATAGCATTTTGCTTTCCTGTAATTACGTTAATGCTAAGCATTCTTCCGTCGAGACTGAAGTAGAATGTTTTGAAGAGGTTAAACACGTCCATCTGTAGGATGAATTGGAAGCTGTAACCACTAGAGGCAACTTCACAACTTCACGTCCACTAACGGTGGCTTGGTAAGCTTACATTGACCACATGACCTGGTGTTTGCAAACCCATGCTTCACAGGCAGTTGGGGAAACCTGTGATGTAATTGGCGAGGCGTAAGCCTAGGTTTGTTTATTTGTCTTTTCAAAACCTCTATTAAACTCATTAAGTCTGGTATATGCTGATGGAACTCGTCACTTTTACAGCCTTGAAAAATTTCAGGATGAAAATCGAAATAACTTACTGACGGAATGGCAGATACAGTGCAGCCACACAGATTTAAGCCTTTAGAAGTGTGTATACTTTTTATAGATACTATGAATAGAAAAGATCAAGTATTATTATTCCAATGGATTAAAACACGCAATTTTCCATCACCTCCTACAGATTAATGTTATATTTTAGCGTCCTGTTGCACTGATTTAAGTCCATGATTTATTTAAACCGTCTTGCAGTGCATACATTCATTTATCTCCTTCTCTCCCTCGCACTACATGTTTCGGCATAATAATGCNGATAGTGAAGGAGTGCTCCAACAGAGGAGAATGGGCGTGACTGGCGTAGTGAGGTGCGACGTAGTGATGTGGTATCCTGAACAATTTTAATATTTTTAACGTTTGACAATGTATATGATAGATACATATTTTAGTTATTTTAATATGAGGACAAGGCATGCAATGAACTAGTTTGGCGTGGATAAGTAAGCACCTGAAGATGGCATTATTATGCCGAAACATGTAGTGCGAGGGAGAGAAGGAGATAAATGAGTGTATGCACTGCAAGACGGTTTAAATAAATCATGTCCTACAGATTATCCCACTTATTTCAACTGCACCGTTCCCGCTTACAGTGGGTATATTTTACGTGATATGTTATGTTCCATTTGCCACAATGTTGCTAAGTCCTTTGTTTTAGTTGTGTCCATATACGTCATGACAATCAATTGCATAGCCTGCTTCTCTCTTCAGCTGCCTCGTTTAAATGCAACAGTTTTATGTGGTACCGTCTCCGATTAAGTATCATGAATGACATACATAAAGTATGTTTATCGATTTGGGCTCTGTAATCAATTGCTACATACACTTTCCTAGGAAAATCATCTCGGGAACCTTTACTTACACAACTTAACAGTTTACAGTTTGGTGGATTACAGATGTTGGCCACATACGGCCAAACAGAAGCGTATTTCAAAGAGGATCTCTCAGTGTTGAAGCCACTGAAGAACACTGACATGCTGCCAAACACAAATTTCAGAAAATCGACAGAAGAATTAGAGATTCAGTGACTGCAGGATAAAATCATCTCCTCTACGCACCAGGGTGCGTCATGCCTTGTGTAGGCAACTCATATAAACATATTTGAATTTCACCGTATGTATGCCGAAAATATTTTGAAAATATAACCTCTTAAATTTGTAATGGTGATATAACTGTCGATGATGCATCCTGGTTATCACAGTAGATGCAGTATCTGATGATTCAGACTCCGTTTTCGGCTGTCGTCAGTTACCGCACTCCCGTTCTCAATGCCTTGAGCT